TTTTTTACAAGGTGTCCTATTCTAGACTAATCCTTGGGTCTGTGATCCGGCCCCTCTTCACACAGTCCGGTTAATCGCAGGATGTGCCTCCAACTGGCCAGGGTCCGAGCGCTCCCCACCTGGTCTGACAAAGTGCCAAGCAAGCCAATCTAAGTTGCACCTTGCCTTCCAAGAATAATCCTTGCCTTCCAAGTTCCCACTTGCCTTCCAAGAATAAATCCTTGCCTTCCAAATGTTCCCTTGCCTTCCAAGAATAAATCCTTGCCTTCCAAGAGCCCCATGTTTCGAACTCACGACCTCTGCTCTGCCAGATTTGACAGCGTCCGTCCTTTGCCAGTGGAGAAGTGCCGTGGGGGCGGAAGGCAACCCACTTTCTTGTATATGTCATAGAGTAAAGACAAAATAATAATTCCTCAGAAAAGGATAGGAGGATTGAATTAAGTCATTGAAAGATGATAAAATGTTTGTGATATTTTTTTTATTTTTTTTTTATTTTTTCTAAATACTGTCTCAGAGGGTGTTTGACTTCCATTTTTAAAGAAAATTGAATTTTAAAATAGTAGATTGATGGAGAATATGTGGGTGAATTTTTTTTTTTAATAAATGTAATTTTATTTTAATGAAAAATGTGTAGTTGAAAAGAAGAAAGAGAGAGAAAAAAATATATTTTTAGAAAAATGGGAATCAAACGGGACCACAATCTGTGGGTAATTTTCCAAATAAACATGTTTATCACAAGATGTCGTTGTTTATTAGATGCATTTTGGTCTACATTCAATCTTGAAATAGATTTGCTAACAATACTAATTTAGCATATATTCATTATAATAGAAAATATATTTGAGGCAGTATAATGAACGACAATTTAGTTAATTTTTTTTCTTCGTACTACAGTTGAATCTCTACTGCTCTAGCCTCTAAAGAGAGGCTGATTATTTAATTAGAGTACTCTACAATCTACCCAAAAAAAAATAATAATAATAAAAAAATAAAAATTACAAGAGTTCAAATATCAATAATATCAAACCAAATCTGCCTGAACACTTTGATGATCAGATCATGATATTCATCAGAATTGAGGGTAAGATAGCAAGCAAGAAGTTCCTCCAAATCCTTTGATGCTCTGATGTTGTTCTCCACAATCATCTCCACCATTGATTCCCTAAAATCTCTCTGTGGATTCTGAGATGATTTCACAATTGCAAAACTCTGTGATACACTTCTTCTTGAGCTCGAACTTGAAGTAGACACTGTACTTTTACGACCCCGAACTCTCAGGCTCGCTGCAAGCCTAGGAGAATTAGTCCTCAGTTTGAGACCTGGTGAATTCCCTGGAAATCTTCGGACAGGACTTGTAGTAGTCTTATGTTGTTTGGGAGAAGTTCTCAGAATGTCCTTCTTGACAACCTTAACAGAAAGGGATCCGAATGCATTTTTTTCCTCAAATTTGGCTGAGGTTCTGAGAATCTTGGTCGGGTTATTAGTCTCTGTCGGTTTTGTTTCCTTTTTCGTATCGCCTGTTTTACTCTGCCTGGTGATGATTGGAGGAAGATTTTCAAAACCATCGAACTTGTGATTAGCAGCATCAGATTTTGTGTCGAATGGCTTTCGATTTTCCATGTCAATAATGATATCGTTCTCAGTTCTGCAGGTTGACCGTGAAAGCATGGCATCAAATGTATCCCTGTCTGAACCATATTCGGGCAAGAGAGATTCGTTCCCGGACGATGAACTACCATTTTGTGAATTTGGGTACTCTTCGGGAGTTGAATCTGGTTTAGTCCACACGGATTGGACATTGGATTCACATCTGCAACCCGCTGAAATGGACGTGTTGGTGACGAGCCTGGAAGAAGGCCGAACACTAGAATTTCTGATCCTCATCGTGCTTTGTCTCCTCCTGGATGATTTTCTTGGCGGTTCTGTATATATTTTTTCGCAAACTTGTGTAATGGATGATGGATTGGTATAGAATGTGAGATTATTTGGTTCCGGAATAAGATCTCTAGTGAAATAATAAGATTTTCTTTGGTCAGAGAGGTGAGATATTTGACTGTTTATTGATGGCTGAATTGGTTGAGCAACTGATGATGATGTATTTTGCTGTTTTTTCTTGGAGGGGTTTGCATTTTTCCAGTTTCTGGTCTTGTTCATATCTTTGAGCTTGTAGAACCAGGCTTTTGGTAACATATCTGATAATCTGAACCTGTAATTGCCCATCTTTTGTGTAACTTCTTCAATTCCTGGGCTCTATGGCTATGCGGCTTCCAGAAAAATGGTCGACTCCATGCCTAATCGAGTAGATAGTCGAAACTGTTCGCCCTCGTCCCTTGAGAGTACAATTTTTATCCAAGGATGGGACGAAATATTGGGAGATGAAGACTCTGCTTCTTTATGGAGTTTTTTTTTAGTTAGAAGCTTTTGAAAGTGAGTATGGCTGATAAATAGAACGATGGTGAATTTGATGGGGGCAAAATGGGGGCCACAAATGGAAGAAAAATGAGTCACAAGCAAATGGCACAGGGACAGTGGTTGGATTGTTGGTTTACCTTTTGATATATATTATGATTAGTTTGAGCTTATTCAAATTATGCACTAATTGTCCTTAATGATTCCCCCAAATCAAAGTCTTGATGGACTTTGAAAGTCAATAATAATGATAAAATGTAGTACTAAATCAACTCAACAATTATTGATATAACTTTATATTCCATAAACATCTTGATTTTACATAATAATAAAGCTAAAATGGAGTAAACTAAATAATTATTTATAACTTTATACTCGATAAATTTCTTCAATTTATGTCTTTTTGTCGTGTGTTTAAGTTACAAGTCATTTATAGTCGCACTTTATATGTAACACGGCAAATATGTCTAAAAATATCCAACGCCATCGTGCAAATCATGCGAAAAGTTCACTGAAAGAATAAAGATCCAATGATCTTTAAGCTGCCAAAACAATCTTTGGTTTCAATAAAATCGACAAGAATCGAATGTGTACAAGCAGTAGGTTAATGGACTTTAATGAAGGGGGGAAAAAAATGAAATCTGTCTTGAACCAACATACCTATGGAGAGGGTTCAATTGGGTTCAGCCATGGTCCCCTCCCCTACCATTGACCTTGGATGAAAACACAAAGAAGTGTCTAGTCTCTCTCACGTGTTGGGGACCAAATTAATTACTGCTTAGTAGGCTCATGTCACCACTCTCTTTTTTTTAACTATTGCTGTATTTTTATGGAGGAATTTTCTATGCATTTTCAGCCTAACCTCCATATAAGAGAAGTTGAATAGAGAATGAGGGTCAACTTTAGGAGTATTTATAAATTGTGGATTCTCATTGAATATTTAATCTCAGACTCATTCAGCCCAAAATTTCGTGATATCAGTATTTGAGAGAAAAATAAAACTGTCCAATCATCTTTCATATGTTAACTATGATCAAAGTTGGCTCAACTTTATTTATTTATTTTTTTTTTTTTAATGAGGTGTCCCAACTTGTGTCAGACTATATATTATCGTCCCTGAACCTCCGGCCCCTTAACTGCTCAGGGAGGTAAATCGCAGGATGTGCCATTGTTGGTTCCAAGGTTCCCACATGACTTTTACTCCTTCTTCAAAGGAAGCCTCCTCCATGGTGATTAATTCACCAATAATTCCTCCTTAAACACACACACAAATGGTGATTAGAAAAAAGAGTCAAAATTGAAGGGGAAAGGAAAAAAAAATCAACAACGGAAGGTAATGTTGAAAATCAATTTTTTTTTTGAAGTTTCGAACATAATTATTGACAATAATATCATTAATTATCCCATACGCAAAATCGTCAGCAATTATCAATGATAGTATTGTCAAAATCAATTGCGCTTCAATCATTTTAATTTTCTTTCTTCCCTACTAGTATAAATTAATGTGTTTGTGTACAACTCTTTTTCCTAATATCTTGTGCTTCAAAATTTTTATCACATTTATATAAATATTCTCAAATATCCACTATTGATGGAATATCTGGCTCAAGACTTTCATTGAATATATTTACATTTAGTATGCAAAAGGAATATGTTGAGTCTCGTGTACACGTATTAAAGAAACCAGAGATGAAAACAAAATGTAAGCGTAGAAATACTAAGCATAAGAGCGTTCTAAAGAAAATATATGTAACCACAGGGGCAATAGAAAACCGACCTTTCACCTAAATTCTCAAACTTAATTTGAAACGAAGAATTCAGATGCTGTTAATAAAAGCAATACCCATACCAAGTTACAATATTGTTCACTTTTTTATAGTTGTAGAAACCCAAAAAACTAAAAATAAAAATAAAAATAAATTGAAAGAGAGAGAGAGAAGACTCAATGGAGAAAATTACAAAGAGAATTAGAGATGAGGACAGATTTTATCGCACAGTTTGGACTAACAAGATTAAAATGATGAGAGAGTTAGGACATTTCCAACGTTGCACCAAATTTTGCACCATTTTACGCCAAATTTTTCACTAAATCTTGCACCAAACCAAAATTTTCCTCCAATCATTACATCAAAATTTATACCAAATGAACAGTGCTTTTTTATTTTATTCATTCTTTCGATTTTTGAAAATGTATTTATTTTTAAAAATTATTTATTTATTTATTTATTTTATAACTATATAAATTACTAAATTATAATTTCGTTAATTTAACAAATATATTGATCACTAAATTATTAACGTGTCTTATATATTATGTTAAATTGACAAAAATATTTGATTATGTTATTAATTTATGATAAACAATTACGTTAAAGTTACAAAAATAATAAACGTTAATAATATGAACTTTACATTAAATTAAATTTTAAACGTAAACTTTACGAATTAAACTTTACGTTAAATTAACAATTACGTTAATTATTATTGATTATATTATTAAAAATAATAAACTTTAATAATATAATTAATAGTATAATTAATTAAGTAATTATCATCATCATCATCATTATCATTATCATTATCATTATCATTATATCATTATTATTATTATTATTATCATAGAACAAAAATGACACAAATATCCTTTACTATTATCTTTGAAAAATGAAAAATAAAGGCAAAATGAACATTGCATCATTTGGTGCAAAAAATGGCGTAATATGGTGCAACACTATTCATGTTGCACCATTTTGCACCAAAATTTGGTGCAATTGTGCAATGGTTGGAGGAAGTTTGCACCAAAATTTGGTGCAATGGTGCATCCATTGGAGATGCCTTTATGACTCTATATTCCGCCGATTAAGTATCAACGATTTGATTAATCCAACAACTAAGATCTTTTTTTGTGCTAGCACAATCCACTTCAAGCCCCAATAGCCTATCATTAGCTAACACATAGCCATTATTGAGTTACTGTGCCACATCATTGCTACCACTTTAAGTGAATAATTAGTCATGTTTTCGACATTCTTCACTTGCTTCATGTAGGAGTATCAACGAGTCGAGTTGAACCGAAATTTGAGGCTTGGGTAAAATGATCGAACTTTTTTACGGCTTGAGCCTTTTGCTCAGCCAAAAAAATTAGGCTTAACCCGAGCTTTTGGCTCGGACAAGTTCGATTAATTTTTTATTTATTTATGAAGAAGGCAGCCTCTGTTGCCTTTAAAATTTATTTATTTATTTGTATTTATTTGTAAATATAAGCTTGTGAGCTCGAGCCAGGGAGCTACAGGGGCCGGCTTAGGATTTGCCCGGCACCCCAAAATAGGGCTCGACCCGAGCCTCGAGCCGGACAGGGTCGAGCTTTTTTCGAGCCGAGTCACGGGTAGCCCAAATCAACAAGCTCGATTGACATTCCTGCCAATCATCATTGCCAATTTACCTGCATGAAAACAATAATCATTATCTATATGTAAAGTCGGTAAATGAGCTTTAAACTTGTGAACAGATAACACTTACGGTAACAAATTAACTTCCTCTATAACTAAATTTTCTCTAGATATTTCACTTCAAAATACTTAACCTCAGTAGTTCACAAGGTAACTAAGAGTCGAAGTAGAAACTTCCAAGATAATCTCATATGATAAAGAAATAAGATAGACTTCTTCTAATCTTTATTTTCAGTAAAATCAGTCTACATAACCTTTAAGTGTTATTTGTTAATGTATCACTTCTTTTTCAAACACTAAACCTATGTTTAATGTCCCAACTAGATGCCTAAGTAACCACTTGAAACAATCCCAATGTAGCTACCAGGATTATAATTGTGCTTAAAGAAGCTAAATCAGGTTTTGTTGTTATAAATGCATAATCTATCCAATTGCATTTGCATAAGACACATCACCCATTTCTTCTTTAGTTTTAGGGGATCATGCAGAAGATAAGCTCACTAGTGCTACTAATGGTATAGTAAGTATTAACTGATTTAGAAAAATCCATTCCAAATTTAGTTACCATATCTAAATAAGCCTTTTGAGTAATAGCTAACCTATTATCAGACATACTTCTTTCGATAACAATTCCAAGAAATATTCTAGATATTTCAAATCAGACTCAGATTTAAAAAATAATAATAATAATAAATAAATAAAATTCATTTTTGTGATGTCACTCTTACTTTAACTAGCTAGTAACATGTCATGAACACATAACAATAAATAAGCTTTACACCCATTCTTAGAGTTTTAGTACAAACACGCATTTTATTCACTTTTTTTGAAGTTAATTTTAATCACATATTAATAAATTGTTTTACACTATAGCATAGGTCTTTGTTTTAGTCCATATAATGAATTCTTAAGAAAGAAATGTAATTTAGATTTGCTCTTCATCTCAAACCCTTGTTGTTGGTCGCAGAAATAAACTTAGACACCAATATGCATAAAAGTAATGAAGTACACTAAAATTTTTAGCCCCCTAGGATTCACTTATCACTTCGTATTATCTGGATATAAAGAACCAGTCAAGATATGATAAATCAGTCATATCTTTGTAGCAACTGAATTTTTTTTTTTTTTAACATAAACTTTAATTAGAAGTTGTAAAACAAAATGACAGAAGTAAAGGTGTGGATAAATGGGAGGATGAGAGAAAGAGAGAAAAAGAATATCAATGATATAGAATTCCAATAAGTAAGGTCTACGAGTCATCTCATAAAAGACAGTGTAATAAAACATCAATACTAATTGATTCATCCATACTTAAATATTAAATGAATCAAGAAAAAAATAAAGAGCTTGGAGCCAATAAGACTAAGAAGAATAATTGAAAGAAAGGAAATCAATTAGTTATTCGTCAAAGTTTCATTTATTCAACAACCAGAATTAAATGCGGATCTATAGCTCGGAGACGTAGAACAAAAATTCGTTTATTTGCCTCAAGCTTTCGAGGGGCTCGTTCAAGACTCACTCGAACTATTACTCAATAGAAAATAAGAGCTTTGGTTTCGGCTCATCGAGATAGGGAT